AATAATGTTGGTACCAAAATTTCTATTCGCTTAACTGTTTTCAAAGGACATATATCGAATTACTACTGTACTTTATCTGCATGGTGCAGTTTGAAGGCCGGTGTGATGCGAATGTTGGCTTAAAAATGAAAGGTAAGTCCGGTTTGTGCCTGTGCTAAGCGAATTTTCTCTGCTGTGAACAACAGTGACTTCAACCCATGCGCCTGAAGGTAGGCAGATATGCTAATGTTTCATACATACTATATGTAAAGTTGTAATCAGCGCACTGTGTGCAATTTTTTAAATATGTAATACAAAATTTTTGATGTAAGCGTCTTTCTGGCACTACTCTACATTATATGAAAAATGTTTATTCGTATGAGATAAGGAAAACTTGTAAAGTTATAAATAAGAGTTTAAATAGAGCTGTACGATCTTTTGTAATATAATTGCGATAAATATTACTTTAAAAACCAAAAATCATTTTTAACCCTGTTCGAAATGAAAGTTGTAAAACAATATTAAAAAAAAAAAAAATTCTCAGCTTTTGTGATTATGAAAATTTACTCAATAAGAAAGATAAGCGTGGTGTTTGGAAATTTTGTGAATAGTTTTCCTTAAACATGGAAAGCTCTATAGAGCTTATATAAAGTACTCACAAATGAAATTTGATCCTTTAAGTTGAACGACTGAGATCGACCAAAGTGGAACTTCTTAATATGCAACATTTTTTTTTTTTTAATTTTAATTTTTTTAACAAAGTTTTCGTTTGTTTTCAAATTTTTTAAATTTTTTTTCAAAGTTTTTAATGTTTTTCCAAAAAGATTTAACTTTTTTCAAAAATTTTGAATTTTATTTTTCCAAAATTTTTAAGTACACAAAATAATTTAACTTTTATTTTTTATTAATATTTACAACTACCCTACTGTGAGAATGACATTTCATTTCAAACATGGTGGCAACACTTTTCATAAAGAAATTAAAAAATAAATCGCTTCAAGCTTTAGAACATGTTATAAAAAAGACTGCATAGCTCTTAAGTAAACAGAAAAACTTTCCACAGTTATAGAAAATTATGATTTTTTTATCAATTCTTTTTACTCTAACAAAAAGAAACCCAAAAGTGACGAATAAAGATAAAAGGAATGCCCACAATTTTATGTAGATAAGTACACATACAAAGGCGCAGTCAGCTTCGCAGCCTTTTCATTTCATTTGAGAATAAATAAAGAATAATCAAACTATGGGAGAGTTCAACAGACACACCTGAATTTATTTATGGCAAATATGATTATGCCCAACAGTAAAACAAGAAAAAAAAAATTAACCTAGGTTGCACCTTATTAAATAAAAATGGTTTCCAAACAAGAGTTTGACTTTTTTCGGTCCAAGCGGTCCAAGAAAAAGGATGTGCACAAAATTTCAGGTATATGTATATCTCAAAAATTAGGACTAGTTCACTTACATACTGAGGCACATGGCTAAATGGATTCAGATCGTAACGCTGATCATTTATGTATAATACTATTTGTATACATTTTATAAGGTCTCTAGCGTGTTATTCTGGGTTTTACAAAATTCGTAACATACTTAATCTACTCTACTCTAAAACCGAAATCTACTGCCCCACGTTTTTTTGTATTTTTTTTTTTTTTTTTTTTTTTTTTTGTTTGGGGTTGAAAGATAAAAAATATATTATATACAATTTTTTCGATGTCTTTGGTTCTATTCCAATAGATTACTCTAATACTGTAGACAACACTTGTAAGGCTTACTTTTAAACATATCTATAGGAAAATAACAAGCTCTTGCTTAAATCCCTACATTCCTCAATGACATTTTGACGTTGGGTATAAAACTGATTAAAGCCCAAACACTTTCATTGACGATCATAAGAGCGAATTATTTAGGGAGTAGGCTATCAATGGGCTTGACGTATCCACACACCTTTCTATATTGCTGATAATGCTTATGTAAACGATTTTTTTTTTTTTTCTGATTTAGCGTTGATTAAATCAGTTTGAGTGCTTAAACATGCATATTTAACGCTTACCGTATGAGATAAGATATCAGCGTAATGTTTACCATAATTTGTACACGGAATTCGATGTTCCCTCAATGGTGCCAACCAAAAGGTGGTTGACATCAATACAAACTATAATAAAGATATAAATTTTTTACTCTTGTTCGAAATGCGTAACTTAAAAATTTGATTTATGAGCTGAAATTAACGGTAAAATTTGAATACGTTCAGTCATGCCCGAATTTATGGACTAAGCGTACTTAGTTGTAAAATGTATGAATATTCAAATTAACTTACCTGGTATTATAGTTGATCGATTTTAAAGTAGTATATTTGCTACATTTTTACAATAGAGAAAATACTGGAAATGTGATTATCAATAACACATAAATTCCACCTATCGTTGTTCATAGCAACTAATAAAAGAATTTGTGGTGTCATTGTAACGATCTTTCCATATTACGATACGGTTTTAATATAAACTTTGAGTTGCTTCAGAGCAGACGTTTCTTCAACCGACCAGTTTTAGAAATTTGGAAAGAGGAATTTAGTAGATGGGAGAATAGTTCATAACATAATTTTCTCAATTAATTGGCTTATCTTTTTTTTATTTGTGAAAATTCGAGCATGATATGACCCTTACATTTCTTTGAGTAGCAATGATGTTAACCTATAACTTGAGATCGGTTGGATGAACAATAATAACAATACATATTGATTATTCGTAGCGTGACGTCATCAAAGGACAGGCACTTTTCGGCCCATGTAGTATCTAAACATATAAATTGAGCATTTGAAGGAAATAATTGAAACGTTAAAAATACCCTATGAATACAAAAGATTCTTAACATTAATTCAATTTGGATCGGTCAATATTTATGGCAACTTTATATTTTAGAAATTCCATCTAAAGAGTGTTTCCATTGTTCCAAAAAATATGCCTTGGTACTCGTATGGCGTGAAGATATCTCGTCAAATAGAAACTTTTTCTATTGTATATGTTATAATGGCCCGAAATGTTCAAAATTTTAGATAGAAAGTTCAAAAACTGAAGGACTAGTTCGCGTATAAAGAAACAGACGGATATTACTAAATCTAAAAATATGACTCATTTCCTCAGGCTGATAATTTATATACGGTGTCTTCCAATAGAGATTACGTGATTTTAGCAGCTTGCGGCAGCCATGTTTGTTTTCGGATTTGTGTCAAACTGTGTCAGTGTGTTCAGTAAAGTCTGTCATTTCATTGGAAATTGTCCAACACCCGTATTGTCAAGCATATTTACGTTCTCGGATAGATACTGTAAGAGCTCTTTCGTCGAAAATCATCTGCTTAAATTAGGTACATTTTTGGCTTAACGGCTTTGTCAACAAAACAAATTGTTACTATTGGTGTAAGACAAGTTGTCGTGTGGTTTAAGAAATGCAATAGCATTCCCAAATTTAGACCGTTTGGTGCAGAGTGTGGTATGATGACAACATCGGGTGTTATTTCTTTCGAAATGAGACTGGAAGTGCCGTTACCATTCACGTTGTAACGCAATATTGATCGACTATTTTCCGGAATTTGATTAAATTGACGCGAATGATCTCTATTTCCTACAAGACGGTATGTCGCCTAATGTTTAACGCTTGAACATATTCACACTCCGTGCAAAGATTGGGAAAGTCCAGTGAAGTGGCCGCGAAGATCATGCGAATTAAAGTCTCTAGAATATTTCCTCTGGTGGTATGTTAAATCAAAGGCTTGCGCCAATACACCAGCAATGCTCAGAGAGCTCGAAGCAAGATTCAGCGCACCAAAGCCAAAATGCTGCACCGGATCGCCAAAATCACATGTAAACATTTAGAAGTTATCAGACATTTTGTTCAAATCATAAATGGCATAAAATTATCGACTTAACAAAAAGCTCTGAGTGAATTATCTCATTTTAACATCATGTGGTTTTTTTGGTAACCCGTTTATGTGGTATATTGTATGCAGTATGGTTTCTTCTGACTATTACAAACTTAGTGGTAAACTTAAAATACCCTGTTCTGGATATAATAATATGCCATTAATGGTATATTTTTATGCCGCTGCTCCCCCTTATCCTTAGTAGTGTGTCTTTTAATAGAAATTATTTAACCAATAAATTATTTTCTCAACGTCTTTACAAATTCTTGTACAACGCCACAAAAATTAACAACAACCAAGAAAGAAGAAAAGGGATGACCTTCGCAGCAACAGATAAGGCAATTGAAATTTACTCTTTCTTCGAATTACTCATAGTCAAATTCACAATCAAAACTATTTACAACAACACAAAATTCTCGCCCAGATTTGTAAGCAAACAGTAGCTTTAAAGTTCCTGCTCTTGCGCGATTAGCCAAAGGAGATTGGAGCAACAATAATAATCAGAACAGCGGCAAAACGACAACTGCTGCATGCGTTGCCCTAACAAACAAACGATAAGCACATATGTATAAGTGCACATAAATGCTAGCGGTAAAAGTGTTAAAGATAGCAGTCAACACCAGTAGTTGCAAAAACAAAAGTAAACAGTGCTTTACAACAACATGATTGTATGTTGCTCATAATTTTAATTTCATTTTTCATGCCTTTTTTAATTACATACACTTTTTATGAACATGGAGGGGGATTCGGTAAGGGGAGGACGATTTTTGTAGGGGTTTGGGGAGTTGTGAGGCTTCGAAAAAAAAATAACAACAATGACAATGTTAGTGACATTGTCACTAGCAACGATGTATGTATATTTTGTTAAATATTGTTTTTGCTATTGTTGTTTGTTTCATCTACTGCTGCTGTTGGCGCTATCGATAGCTGTGGTCATCGCTGTTGTTCATCTGCTATCGGCATTTGCTGCCGCAGCCATCGCCGCTGACGCCAGCGTTTTAACTTTCTGTATTTATTGTTGTTGTGCTTTTGCTTTTGCTGTTGCTGTCGCGTTGGCTTGGCTTGTGCGAATTTTCATTGCTGTGTAGTATTTGTTTAAACGTTAAAGCGCACACAACGCCAAGCAGCTCACTGCGGATCAACAGGTGTTGTTAGTTGAATAAATCCTCCAGCAGCGGCGTATTCGAAATTCGATTTTATTTCATATCAATAAGACTTTGTGTGAAGACGTGCGTGTATTTTCTGCGAAGCCTGCAATAAGCTAATAATCGTCGCAAAGGTACAAAGAAAATCCCGTTAACTTGAATTTTTAATTAATTTGCGACAAGTGCTTGAAGTAGTTTAAATTTAAATAGATAAAAAATATTTGTGGTACGAGTGTAATAGTTGTGCAAATTTCTACCTAAATATTGAGTGAGAATTATTTTTTATGTTTTTGGAAATTTTAATTTCAGAATTTTTGCTTTTTCTTCCTTTCTTTATTATTTCCACACAAATTTTTGTTGCAGTTATGTTTTGTATATGTATGTAATGACGTTATATGTACATACATATAATTATGTCTATTGCTTTAGTAAACCGCTAATCGATCTAAAGTTCCTTATTGCCATGCAAATTTTTGTAACAAAATTTTAAGTTTGATTTTTTCGATTTTTTTTTTGGCATTTTAGACTTTTCAAGTTATTATTAATTTTTGTTGCGTGTAATACAGATGTATATGAATTGTTGTTAACCGATCCCATTCAGTAACATAGAAGTGGTTTCTTGCTTTGCACAAGTGTGCTATTTTTGATAAAATATTTCAAGTGCTTCGAAACAATTCTAAGGAATGTTGTGCGATTTTATAAAAACAAACGTCGTTAATTTCGCAAACATTTTGCTTTATTTGGAAAAAATCACGTTTGCTCAATTCGTTTGTAGATATTTTGCATTTTTGTAAAACTTACAATGTTTGCAATTAATATAAAGGGATGAGTTATTACTTGCGGGTTGTAAAACAAGTAAAATTCTTACTGTCAAGCCATTAACGACTGTTGCTTAAATTAAATTTATTTCATCTAAATTATTTGTGAAAAACTGATTTTTGTAATAAAAAAATTTTAAATATTCGGCGAACTCGTGCAGACACACTATTTATTTCAAAAAGCAATCATAATTTGTATGCATGTTGCCTGATAAATTGGTTGCAACAGCCTTTTGTTAATTTTTTTTTTTCTCATATAAAAAATTAAATATTTAACTAGAATTTTTTTTTGTTACAAACACACACTATTAACAAGAAAAAATTTAAATTTTTGGAAACAAATAATTTAGACTCCGCTATTGCGACGCCAATTCCGGTGACCACTCGGAAAAAAGATTCGCTCGAGTTAACTCCTTATCATCATCCTCATCTAAAGTGAAAAAATACCTGATTTAGTCAAAACCTTAACTTAGAACTTGGACGAAGGAAAAAAAAAACTGAAATTGGAATTTTTGGTAGACAATTTAAAAATAAATTTAAATTTCAACGAAAATTTCGCGAATTTTTTTTCAAATAGCTGTAATCGAAAAACAAATCCTTCGTTCAAATCTTTAAGATATGTATCTCAAAAGACTGTGTTTCATGAAGGTCGGTTGAGTAGTTCTCAAGAAATCCTGCCAACCGTCTTCAAAAACACAGTTTCGAGAAAAACGCTTTTAAAGACGGCGCACTTAGCCGAACTAGCCTCGCGCGCACGTGTTCTCAAGACTGTGTCTCCGAAACTATTAATCGCATCAACTTGAAAATTGTGGACAATATTTTAGATGTGTTGTAGAATTAAAAAAAAAATGTTGGCATAAAAAACGATTTTTTGAAAACCCTAAACCAATACAACACCTTAAATAAACAAAGAACTGTAAAATAGAGACTTTGAGTGGGGACTTCAATTCAAAATGTGTGTCTTTGCAATACCCCAAAATTTGCGTTTGGTTCAGTAGATATACAAATATGCCGTAAAAATTAATACGAAGTTTATAAGACGATGTCAGACAAGGCAGTCCTCTTCAATATTCTTTTTGCATCAGAAGTCTTTAAATTTTTTTTTTTCAAAATGCTTCTAGAACTTGAGGGTATGGAAACTCCGGTCTTTCTGAAAGATAAAAAAGAAGTATTGTGATAATTATCTTCACAATTATTTTTCACCAAAACTTAAAATATATTTAACAATTTTTTCTAAAGAACGAGTTCAGACCAGGGTAAATAATTTTTGAAAATGAAAAAAATTTTAGCAGGTTGGAACGAAAGTTAAAGAAAAAATAAAAAATGAAAAGAAACATAGCAAAAATTGATGGGCAAAGCGTAGTCATACGGGTATAAACCTACTATGAATTTCGTTCACTTTTTACCATTGACATATATTTTTGCAGATGTCTAACTGGTATTCATACCGGAAACAAGTCAAATTTCCCAACATAACAGATTTTTATTATCATAATATTTAATATTATTGACGACCGAAAAATATTATCAATTAAACTTGAAGAATCAAACATAAATCTTTATTACAGCCATTGAATGCCAAATTACAAATCAGAAATGTGAAAAAGCTAAGAATAAATTAATTAAAACTAAATGTTTAAATGACTTAGTGTAACTATTAACAACCGCGCTCTGTGCCAAAACTTTCTTTTATTAACTCATAATTATTTTATATTGCAACTGTCAATATGATAAAAAAAGTTATAATTAACTAGGCATTTTTCGCATAAAAAATTTATATTTAGATCGCACATTATTATTAAAGCTAACTCAATATTTAACCATTCATATTTGATAATAATAATGAGTATTTGTACAATTGTTACAGAGTTTCTTAACATTCTGGTATGGTTTTCCGTTTCGCATGACGTCTAATCTGTGCACATGCCTACATACATACATACATGCTTGCACACATATGTACGTATGCGGTTGAACAAATTGGATTTTTATTATCAAATAGGTGCAGTTTAAGAGCTTGTTAGCCGATACCATATATGTATGTACCTACATATGAACATACACACTTGTGTTTATATAGAAAATCTATAAAAGCTTATCTTTAAATTTCGCGTGACTACTACCGCTCTGGCTGGAAAGGCACTTCTTTGAGACAACTGTAAATATTGTGCAATATTGGTGGCTGAGTTGCGTAAGTGCTTGCCTCAATAAAGAACGTTAACTTCAGCTAGAAAGGAGTTATATACCATTCAAAAGAGGATTCTTATAGCATGAAGGATATAAAAAAAAAAAAACTTTTCTTAATTTTGATTGGTTAGTTGGTATGCCAGAACAATATCTTCGGAGACTGGAACGCCAAATTTCTTTAAGATACATATGTATATTGTCAAATAAAAAAGGTTCCCCAGTTTGTGGTCCGAGCTGAACATTCTGCATTGAGATCGAGCACTACCATCTCATGATCTAGATTTTGATCGACTAGTCTGACAAATGGTCAGATTTCTGGAAGAAATGGTTGTGTGCAAAATTTCAGATCGATATCTCAAGAACTGATGGACTAGACATACATGAAGACAGACACACATTGTTAAATCGACTCAGTTCTTCACGCTGAACATTTAAATCGCAAGAATGAAATGAACTGTGTTTAAGAGTAAAAACTACAAACATAAAATATACAATAATTCACGAATTGTATGAATAACTCTCGTAAACGTTGACAGACATAAAATCTTTTATAATAGATGAAGGTTTCTATTATTATTATGATAATGATTTCCAATTATTTTGAAATGTTAATATCGTCTCTGAAATAGCACAGACAATAATTTAAATTTAATAAAAATGTATTTGATCATTTATATATAAGTGTATGCATGTGTGTGGCGTCATTATAAATAAATTTAAATTTAAAATTCTTATAAAGACATTATCACTATGGAGAAACGTGTCACGCGTGCTATTATCCATTGCTTAATACTTTGTCGTTTGTCGGTTGCTACAAGGCGTAAAAGTGTTAATGAGAACTCAATGAGAACAAATGAGTTTCACAGTCCTCTACTAATTTGTTTATAAATAAGCAAGCAAGTTCAAAGCGTAGAATTGCGGATTGATGTGGCGGCAGTTTAAAGTGAAATCTTTGTAAAATTCAACTTCATTCCAGAGAAGTATGTATGAACAATGTTATATTTATGGATATATTCGCCAAAATGTTTATTAGCAACCACTAATTTTATTAGCATGCCACAAGTTACATATAGCATTTATTTTAGGCTGAAATGAACGATGCAATGAACTTAAAGAAACCGCTAATTTTGCAGAAAAGAAATGTCACCACAAATGGTTGAGATTTTATTGCTTTTGAAACTATGATGTATATGCATACTATATATAAGTATGAATAATTTTGATGAAGAAGGAAATGATGTCAATATATTTACATATATGAAAGTAGGATGCGCCAACATGTTTTAAATATAGTGAACCTTAAGCCTTTTCTCAAAGGCATAAAAATATTAGCATTTTTTACATGAAAAGTACGAATATATTTTTTTTTTTATTAAGATGTTACAAATTTGTAAAAGTATGATTGTATTTCCCAATTTATATTAAGTTTGCCACGAAGTTTGTGGGAAAAGTCGGAGACCCTATAAAATATATACATACAAGTATATAAATGATCAATATGACGCGCTGAGTCGATGCCCGTCTGTGCGTATAAACACGAGTTAGTCCCGTAGTTTTGAAATATCGATCTGATCTGATATGAAATTTTGCACACGTCCTTTCCTCTTCAAGAAGCTGCTCATTTGTCGAAACCGCCGATATTGGATCACTTTAGCTTATAGCTACCACACACACTGTTCAATCGGAACCAAGTGCTTGTATGGAAAACTTTTTTATTTGATGAGTTATCTACACGAAATTTAGTATGGATTATTACCTAAAGCAATGTTTCAATCCCCTAAGAAATTGTTTAGATCGGGCCACTATAGCTATAGCAGTCATACAAACTGAACATTTCTGAATCAAATTCTTTTAAAAAGTCTTTTGTAATTTTGAAGGGTATTATTACTTCCTTACAGCCGAATTTAACGTTTTTACTTGCTTTTAGAATGTAAAGGTATTCTTATCCCATTTATTTCTTATATCGATGAGTTTTGAGCGATCACTTCAAAATAAACAATACAATTTTCTACATGCTTCCAAACGCCGTTAACTTTGACAATATTGCTACCAATTTTTCACAAAGCGTGAATGGATATTCTCCTTTCATAAATGACTTATTTAATGTTATGTATGTACATATATATTGA